TGGCTCAAAAGGTTCAAACGACCTAGCTGCGCTACGATTCTGAAAAGTCCGGCATCACATCCCGCCAGATTTTCCAGTCCCCATTCGCCGTCCGAGGCGGCGGTGATATCCAGGCAAGCACCGCGAAGCTGTACCTCGCGGTCATTGGTGGTGGCGGTCATCGTGTCAATCCATGTGAACATCCGAACAAACCACTTCAGCTCATCCGACATGCAAGGTGAGTTGCACAGTCGGATGGCCAACAATTTTGTAACCCCCGCAAACTGCGTCTTGAATTGAGCGACCCCAGTATCACACCCATGGAATAGACAGAGGATGAGTAAGGTTGCCAGGACAGAGTCAGAAAGTCTCTGATGCGGGTCGGCCAATTCCCGATTCAAAGCAGAGACCGCCATGCCTCGATGATACTGCTCTTCCTGGGCATATTCTTCAGGCATACTGATACCAGCCCGGTCCTGTAATGCTCCATCGGTCAAGGCTTGGTGGGCCAAGGACGACATGCGCCCCGGCAAAGTTCGCTCCGTCGCCCTCATTCCTCGTTCGCGTCGCTGTCGCAGATTACAGCTGGCCAATGTAGCGATGGCCTCTTGGAGCGATGTGCTTTCCTGGGCCAGTCGAAGAACATACGTTCGAAATGGATTGGTTGGACTATCAAATGCCACAATCATCGGAGCAATGACTTCGGCATAATAACTGATTAGGTATCGGAGTCGAGGTGTACGTCCCACGGAACGTGCCAGCAGCTGCTGAGATAATGATGGCGGCTGGCAAGCACTTATACGTGGTGAAACCTCGTCATAACAGGTTTCTTCCATTTGTTCACCTGAAGCATTATCTTTCTGTTTCGGAGCCTGAGCTGGCCACGGACACTGTATTGGTATTGGTGTTTGTTCTGGTCCCATCCAGGTCCTTGACGGATCAGGATTTGAGATCAATGGGGCATGGCACTGTCTCGGAGAATCGGTCTTTGTCGCACGTGAGGAATAAGAATTATAGAAATTTGGCGAAGCATGGGAATCCACCGTATAGTACTCCGGTGAGCACGCCCGGCGTTGTGAAGCAGTTGGAACCGAGACAGATCCATGCTCGGCAAGCCCAGTGCCTGAAGAACGCTGTTTGTCATGTCGTCGCTTTTCTGCGGCTGTGTCAAGAGCCGGTTGGGATTTCGACGCTGTCCGTGGCCCTGTCACGCGGGAAAACTTCGGAGGTGCGACCGCAGGCTGTGCCCCGGTCACGGGGAGGGACAGCCCTCGAAGCTTTCCTCGACTGGCAACTCCTACGCCCCATGTCAACGCTGTCTTGTACCCCGCGCAATTGCGGGCGCTGTCCAGGCACTGGGAACAATATGGGCGACGCCGGTCGCAGGGAGTACCCTGTCGGGCGCAAGTAAAGCAATCATCAGCCGCTTGGCTTATGACCGTCCTCCTACGCCTTTTCCGGGGAGCTGGGGCGGAGACCGGCGGAGCTTTGCGGATTCGAGGCTTCGACGTAGATTCCATAGCCGGATCCGACGCAGAGGTTGGCCAACTGCTAGGGTGCAGATACTAACTCGCCCAGGCAAGCAATGTGGAGATAACCCGGAGTGCGGGGTCCCATAAGTGGTGCGAGGAGTTGACACGGCGGCAGTAAGCAGGCTAGCTAGTGTGTTAGAATAGGCCAGGCGAAAGCAGGGCCAACACGATGTTGGGGGGTGGAAGGTAATGTATCTAGTCGTCGGGATGAACAGGTCAGGAAAAAGCAAGAAAAGAAGAGCTAACGTCGGAGAGGGAGGGGGGGCCACGCTTACGGTCGATTATAATCAAATCACATCGGGAATCGATCTAGTTCGCGCAGGAGAAAGAAAGCGGATTTGGAGATGATGATAAGCGACGATCGTTGCGGCATCACCCGCCGTTAGGAGAGCAGTGCCGGAGATTAAGCCAGTATATACTCGTTAGCGCCGAGTAGTCGAGGCTCAGCAGCCAACCGGTGCGTGGCGAGTGTCTTTCGAACCCGCATTTTGAAGCGATCTTACTTGATGGCGGCCGAGTGTCGGCGAAATTGAGCCACCGTTTCAGATGGACCCAGAGAAGATGGCACAGTTCATAGCCGGTGCAGGATTAACTGGGTGCACAGATGAAGTTGGTTGTTCAACATGGCAGCACTCAAAAATGCAGGAGGAAGAAGGGCTTGGCTGCCCCCAAATCTATGGCCGGAACAGGACTAGCGGGAGGTGTGCATTGTTCAAGTTCATAATGTAACAAAACTCGACCAGCAACTCAACTTCCTACTACCAACTACCAACCCTACCTAACGATCAACTCTCCTCGATGCGAGGGCATTCTCATTCTTCATCCATTCCTCTCCCTTCTTCTCCAAGTCTCCCCTCCAGTCGATCCAAGATTCCAGATTCCCCTTAACTTCTTAAGGTTTCGGTAGACCAAGCTAATGGGATCCACTGGTGAACTTTCCCTTCCACTTTCCACTCTGTCGGTTCGGTGGAACTGGCCCTTCCGCGGAGGAGGAAGGACCACATGCAGTCCTCAGTCTTCACCTCCCCTTTTCCATTGCTACGGGTCGGGGCTTGGTGCCTTGGAACCCCTAATGGATCACTCGGGATGACTCCGACCACGAGGATGGAATAGGAAACTCCCTCGCACTTGGTATATTAGGATTGCCACCGGATGAAGATCGTGGGAAGCCAACCGGAGCCACGGCATACTGAATTATGCATGCACCGCGTTATTAATAGCCGCGGGCAACGTAAGTGCGCGTTCTGCCACCGCCTGCTGGAAAAAGCATCCACGGTGCCTCCATCGCCTCCCCAACACTGCCTGCTGAGCCACGTTGGACAAGCCTTCGTGGCCGCTGGAAACTTTCATGGCCAAAACTTTGCGATTTTCTAGCGTTTCCAGACCCTGCCAACACAACAGTGCTTGATTGTGTCTTATCTTGACTACCGCGGCTCCTCCACCGCCATTCGTATCCCCCCGTGAACCAGAATTCGCCTCCCGCTGAACCTGGACTCGACCGAGCTTGCCAGCCATGTTGATGGATTGCTAAAGCGATCTTCTCTGACTTTACTTGAAATTGCCCACCCTGCCGGCCAACCGCCGAAGTGCACTCCCTCCATACACAGCGAGCTGGTAGATTTGCCTCAAACCTCCAAAGCTATACCTCCATACCCCTAGCTCTGCCTCCCGGCAGCGAACATAGTCATGCCGGTTCTTCGACCAGGTAAATTGAAGACGATAATCTCGGCCACGGGTGCGCTGCTACTCATTTGCACCGTGTACATCTATTGGGCCCCGCCTCCAGCCTCAGTAGTCCCTAGCACCGCCTTCGAGGTCCCTCTCGCCGAACGTCAAAATGCCTTTTGGAAGGTCTTGAACCCGATATTGCAAGGACATGCCCCAAATACTCCTACGCCAAAGCGCCTGGCGGACGTAAGCGCAGTTCACTTCAATGCTACGACAACCGATTCGCGACCCGATCTGACCATAATCGAGGATGGCGATTTACAAGCGATGGAAGAGGCTCATGCGGGATATATTGAGGAGTGCCGTAAGTCTGAACGGCTGCGGCCAGTACATACTCCGGGCACGCGTGGCATAGTGTCCACAGCGGGGGCTTCCTATTTTCCAGTTTTCTTGTCTTCTCTACGAATGCTTCGACGACTGGGGTCAACGCTGCCGGTGGAGGTGTATATGAAGGATAAAAGTGAATATGAAAAACAAATTTGCGACGAGATCCTACCGGATCTGGGTGCGCGCTGTCTTGTTCTCTCGGATATCGTTGGCAAGGGAGCCATTGAGCATTACCAGCTCAAAATCTTCGCAGTTCTATTCTCCTCGTTTGAAGAGGTTATCTGGATGGACGCAGACTGTTTTCCGCTCCACAAGCCTGAAGTTTTGCTTGAGTCGGAACCATTCAGCTCCAAGGGGTTGGTCACCTGGCCGGACTTTTGGATCTCCTCGGCGTCTCCGCTGTACTTCAAAATCTCGCGGCAGGAAATGCCAGCGCTGTCGGAGCGCGCGTCATCGGAAGCGGGCGTCTTTCTGGTATCGAAGAAGACTCATCAGTTGACCTTGCTCCTCGCTGCTTATTACAACTACTACGGTCCGTCACATTATTTCCGGCTATTATCGCAAGGCGCACCCGGCGAAGGCGATAAGGAGACCTTCCTTCATGCTGCCACCGCCGTCGGAGAGCCTTTCTACGCTGTGAGCGAGCGGGTTCAGGCAGTCGGTCACACGAAGCCGGGCGGTATTGCGGGCTCTGCGATGGTGCAGACCGACCCGGCCGAGGATTATGCGTTGACCAGTGCGAATAAATGGCGCGTGAAAGATGAGTCTGTGGCGAAAGCCCCCCATGCTTTCTTCATCCACGCCAACTACCCCAAGTTCAATCCTGGTGAAAAAGTATTCGGCATGAAATGGGAGACCACGCCAACGCTCCGCCCCGATGGCACAGACGGACGGGCATGGCTGGCGGCAGAGTCTACTGTCCAGCGATTTGGATACGACGTCGAGAAAGCGTATTGGGAGGAGATCAAAAACATCAGTTGCGACCCCGCCATCAGCTTCCGGACATGGGAGAGGAAGGATGAAATCTGTGACCGGGTAGAGAGCTACTGGGCGAATGTGTTCGCCAAGCCGCATGATGACGACCCCAAGTTCACTGACGAAAGCTGAATTGGCCGCATTGTACTGCGATGCTGGCCTTGAGACATCACTGGGTAACCAGTTACGCCATGCTGTTTATGATCGACACGGTTGCTTATCAGCAAGCAGTATTGTATATATTCTTCTGTTCTTTTTCTGGTTACATATTCATACCATTAGGTGTATAATATTGGTTGATGCCATACTTATTTGGCATCCCAACTCTCTGTTTGTTGATACCCTGGCGCTCCGCAACGAAAGTATCGAAGTATATTCCAGTCTTTGTAACAAGATTCAACACACATGCTATTACATACTACATCCTCTAACAAATCTACGTGGAAAAGATTAGAAATAGGATCATTGTAAATTGAATAATAGTGATATGCTATCGCCCCAGGCGTCAGCCATTCATGCAGTCATTCAAAAAGGATATAGTATATAGCTTTTCCATCCATCCTTCCTTCCGTCTCCAACATTACATCATTTATTTCTTGATACCCTTCTCACGCAAGCGCTGCTCATCCTCAGCCTGCAACTCGGCATCGATCTCAGCACCCTTGGAGGGCTTGTTACCGTGCACCTTGGCCTGCAGATAAAAATAGTTAACCATCATGCCCATCATCAAATCAACAAACAACTGTGTAAGAGGGTATATATAAACATACCGGCTTAGTAGGATCCTGCTTGCTGAGCTCAGCCTCAGGGTTCTGGACAAAGTTGTGGTGGTGGTCGCTCTCGGGCTTGCTTTCTTGCGAGGCAAGCTTGTTGCCGATGGAGCGCTGGTCCTCTGTTGGGATTCTCGTTAGTATTGTCTCCCCGAGTGATTGGAGGATAGAAGGGGCAACAAAGAAGGAAGGAGCATGCATACTCGAATCAAGGTTCTTGTGGCTGTTCTTCTGACCCTCTGCGTAGCGGTTCTGCTCGTTGATCTCAGACTGGGGCACGTTGCGCTGGTCACCGGCTTCGTAGAGGGTGCGGCTGCCGACGCTGGATTGGCCTGCTCCGGAAGACATTGTGTATGTTTGTAATAGGGAGTTGGGTTGATTTCTGTGAAAGGGAGATAGATTCGTTGAGAGTCTGTTAATTGTTGTTGTTGTTGTAGTAGAGTTACATTTAAATGAGGACGAAGAACAGCGTTTATATAGAGTCAGGGTTGGGGGAGAAGAAATCTGGGTGATAGTTGTGATGTCATATGGCAGTCGCTGAGATCATAGTACCCATGGACTGTGTGGGTCACAGCCAAAGCTGGGCATGGCTTTGTCCCTTGGCTGGAACAAGTCCTCATCATATTCTTCTTCGATGATGTAGTTGGGTCCGTTCTGGTGTTGCATTTCGGTGAAGTCTTGGGGTGTAGCAAGTCAGATGGGGAATCGGTTGTACCTGACTGAATAACTAATGGTGGTGAACTCAAGCTATGCATCCTTACATAACCGATATCGGCCGATTAGTTCCATTTCCGGCTAACATGGGGAAATAAACAGATACAAACGCGACTCACCTTCACGATTAAGGATTAATGCCATCTACAACGGGACATAATGGCCCGCAACCCTTCGCGTCTACTGTATGCATCTCGTAGTCTGCAATTGACTACTAGTAGACGGCAATTCGGCACCAGTGTCTCCTCCATACTACCCCTCCTCTCCCCGCCCCGATCCACGCCGGTCCGATCATCATTGATATCAACACCATCTACTTCTCCCCCTCTCACACATCACATTCCCACTACAGCTACTACTCCCATCCGAGGTATCACCACCACCAACACCACCCCCAAAATGGCCACAACCACCACTCTCGACCCCCAATACGCCCAACTCTTCCAAACCCTGGAATTCCAATTCCAGACCACCACCCTCCCCCACGACAAATGGTACATCCTCGCCATCTCCACCCTCGTCGCAAACCCGGACCCCGAACGCGCCGACCAACTCTACCTCTACCTAACCTCCAAACCCGAGTACTCGACCCCATCATCCCGCCAACACCTGATCCGGCGCATCCGCGAAGCCCTCATCAAAAGCGTGATAATAGTCGGAGTGTGCAAACCCATCGAAGCCATTCTTGCCATCAGCAAGCTCGAAGCACCCGAAGACAAAGACTACACGTTCACCCGGGAGGGCTGGCAATGCGACGAGGCGAACCACGAGCGCGGCGTGGCGTGGTTGGAGAAGCTGTATGCGCGGAATACATCGGGCACGTTGGATTTGTTTGCGGCGCATAAGGATTTCGCCTGGTTGTCGAAGGAGATTACCTACGGGTTGTTTTTGAGTGATCGCGGGGTGTTGGATGATTTGGATACCCAGTTGGTGGTGTTGCCAGCGATTATGAGTCAGAATTTGAGGATTGAGACCCATTGGCATATTAGGGGCACGAGACGCTTGGGGGTCAGTTTGGAGGATGTGAGGGTTTTGTGTGAGGGCGTTAAGCATGTTGCGGGGTTTTATGGGAGGGTGTTGGATAAGGTGCCTGGTGTGGAGGAGGTGGAGGGGGATGTTTGAGGGAAAGGGGGGTTGAGGGTTGGTTGTATATAGTTTATGGGTTGGGATAGATTTAGAGGGGGTTATATATTACTACTGTGGTAGATGGAGTATAGTGGCTGGCATGACATCCGATGACCTTCACACAGACTCCCCCGTCAAGGTAGCGAGGTGGTCCTTATATGGATTTGACTCGACGTCAAAGTAGCGTGGTGCCTGCGAACTCCAAATGTAATTACCAGCAAGGGCTGTTTCACACATACGAAGCCATTTGATAACACCCAATAATGCCTGAGGCGACCCCGCGTACTTTTCATCGAACTGAGAAACAAGTGTTTCGTGTCGACGAATCTCAGCTTTAACGACTTCCTTTGCTGTCTCCTCCGAGCAAGACTGACATTGCATCACGACGTGAACAGCATTGATCAGAGGAATTTCCTGATCTTCCATATGGGCTTTGTATTCCTTGGGCCAGGAGAAATAGTCATTTGTCAACGTCATTGCCGCATATACGTGGTGACGTATAGGATCAATCATACGCTCTTCATCATCGGTTAGATGAATGTCTTGCGCCCAGCTAAACAGAGCCAATGCCCATCTTGAGATGATTAGTATCGAAGACATCCCCCGGGGGGGTTTAACTCTGTGCTTACTCGGCGTATGCATCCGACACTCGAAAGGACAAGTACTCCTCCAGACTGTGGTACTCTCGAGATCTGACTGTATGTGTTGCTTTTGTTGCCTTTTTCCAAATACCAAGAACCCATTCCCAGGAGACAGGGTCCAAACGAACGAACTCGGCTGCTATCTTGGATTGAACCTGTGCTTTTCGACAGGCTTGCGCAGAACAGCCTCTTGCGTACACGTCTCCATTCGAGCTGAGCGCTTGCATCAGATTTTCCTGTTCTTGAACAAGCTGTGATCGTTATTATATTATCCGTTCTTGATATAATCAGCTTAACTTACCGAATTCAGGTCTTGAACGTTGTCCGTAAGGCCTGCCAAAAACATCAGATCCCCTTCCAAAAACTGCAAACAAATCGAGGTGAGGAACATACCGTCCGAGACGAATGCAAACTCACAGAGATAGGCGAGAAGAACAAGTCTATCGGGTAGAGAATCAGGTGCACACACAGCAACGCAATTACCTACTTTTGGATTGATGTTTCCATATTTTTTACCTATACTGTCAATCCCAAATAAATCTCTTTGACACTGAACGGAGGCAATGTCTGCTTTGATTGCGTCTCTGTGGATTCGCGGTTCGAACCGTGATTTATATAACGGATTAGTCTTCCAAATCTCAGCTGCAAGAGGAATTGAGTAGCACATTATGTCTAGACGTAGGTCGGATGCCGAAGTCCAGGTAACGAAAAGGTTGGGAATTGAAGAATCTGGTAATGAGTGGTTACGGAGAAGGCTATGCTTGTCTATACAAGTTGCTTTTTATATACTTTTTCCCCCCATCCAGTTAATATCAAAATGCTTTTTGTTGCAGGCTGAGAGACGGGTCCCAACCGCAATTCAGCTTCAAAACCTGAAGGAAGAAATGAGGGGTTAGAAACTTACTAAGAGCACGGCTGGAGGTTCATCCAATTGTAATGGGTCCATAGGAGCACCGGAGGTTTAGCTGCATTTAATGTATCACTTCCATCTTGACTTCAAGTAGATTAATTGTGCTTGTTCGGAAGTAGGATTGCTACCCAACTAGCTGACCATTTTCAGTCGACCCCATTACCGTACGTCTATGGCACTGGACGATCCGAAACTCGAGATCTTTATTTCTTTTGACGTGTTCACTGCACTACCTACTACGTGGCGTACTCCTGTCTCTGATGATGGATGCCTTTCTCAGCAACGTGCTCGATGACACGTTTAAATGGAGTTTCTATACTTCTTACCGGGACTTTGCTAGGAATACCCTTAATAGTGAACATCTAATTAGTAGTATCGAACTTATGTGCATCTGAAATGTTACAACGACAGCATTCTCAATTATATCTTCTTCATAAATGTCATAGATTAAATACATACTATATTAATTTTTATTTCTTGACCAGGGTCAGAAGAAAACAACCTTTCGAGAGATGAATAGAGTTCCGTGAAGACAGTCACAACTCCAATATGATCATCCAGGATTATCTTGGATAATAGCGCCATATGACAGAATGACTGCTGCTTTCTAGATCACTTCAATCCAGACTTTTTCTCCATGACTTTCCTAAAGGAAATAAAAAAAAAAAAAAAAACTAGAACATTGAGAAGATTATTCGTAATTATCGGGGATTTTTGATCCTTCAAACCAACTCCAAGGATGGCTCCCTCCGAAAATCACGGTAGTCTTTACCGCGTCTTATCAGTTTATGGAAGCGGTTAAAAAACACCGCCATAGATTTGTCAGTACGCACCTTAGCTGCGCTCAGGATATTTTAACGGTGTTCTAAGTAAAATATCAGATGATCTCCGTCTGCCTTCTGGTGTTCCATTGGTGAGGTATTTATCAACCTTGAGCTCAGGTCCTTTTGTTAGATCAAGACAGAGGCCCCATTGGATCTGTTTACAAAACTTTCCCTACCCTGCCCTCGATCATCCTCCAATTGTTTGCTGCAACCCTTGCTGTATCGTAGAAACTCTTGGCACGTATCTGCACTTATGTCCATTCGGGGATGTTATTGTTTTGACAGTATCTTAGGAACTCTGCCTTCCTAGCCATTGTCGAAACAGTGATTGCGCTTGCCCCATTATTGATATGATTAAACCAGTCGACTGATTTGAAAAACTCGATGCAGAGTACTAACCGCTCGCTTTTGCTCGCGGATTCGTACTCGCTCGAGAACTTTTCGGCCCTTTCTATCAAGGGATCAATAATGGTGGCAGCTGCAACCTCTGTCGACAGCTGGCCATCTTGCACTAATTACTCACGTATCTGTGTCAAAGAAAGTACAGAAGTATCTCCTTCTGTTTTGTGAGAGCTCTTTCTCTTTTTCTTCCTGTTTTTTTTTTTGGGGGGGGGGGGGGTGTACTGAAAATAGTATATTAGTAAGTCTCGCAGGTCCTTCCAGCCTAGGCTGAAATGCCCTTAATAGTTAGATAATACTAATTGCGTTAGTATCGGCGATTGCTTGCTATCGTCAAGGTTTTCTCTGTTTTCGAAATGGCTGAGCCAAGAATGTCCTTTTGATGTATTTAAAACCCTCATAATAGGTCACACCATGTCGTCTGGATTGCTTCGCTGAATGGCTACTATAGCTATGTGCGGTATCTATATCCATGATCTGGATCTTTTCAGTTTGAAGATAAGATCAGGGCCATCTGCAATGTCTAATATTTCTCGATAGCTTGCAAATACAATGACAATATTTGTCCATATTGAATATGTCGTTTATGCTACCCTTCGGTACGGGATGTCCAACATCGCTGTTTCGCTTGCAGGTTCTAGATTTATCAAGCTGCGTTTGTTCTGCAGTCCACTGTTGTAATTGTGGAGAAGTTTCTAATGGCATGTGGACTTTGATCCATTGGTATATTATATATTGTATATTAATTCGGATATGTTTGCCATGGTTGCCCATAAGCAACTGCCTTTTTAGTGGTAGTAGCTGTAATAATTATTCGTTACACTATATATCATAAAAGCATTGATATAATTTTAGATTATATATAGATTGTTCTCTCGATGATAGTATTGTTGGAGTTGGGAAGATCAGAAAGATCAAGCAGGGTCGCAAGCCGAATTTATATAGTAGGCAAGGGTAGGTGAAGTGCCTGTCTACATTGCAGTATTCATTAGTATTATTCCCTCTAATGTGCACTTGTTGGCCTATTGAATACTTCCTGTATGCGGCATTGAGTAATGATAGGGCACTTTAGGGAATATTCTTTAGTCAGTGAAGTGTCTACACAGCTCTCTTCAGAGTAGTATGAATATGGGATAAATTCAATAAAGGTTGATTGCACTACTGGTATAGCGCTATCGATAAGCTATCGATAATCAAAAGCGGTTAGCGGAAGATCAACTTTTGTCGGCCGCGCCGCCCGACGAACCTCCGCGAACGGAAATCCCACTTTAACTCCTCCCAGCACAACCCCCTCAAACCCACGCCACACATATACTCTCAACATACACAATGGTCAAGCGCAAGGAACTCAAAGACAATGATGTCGAGATGTCGGGGACGGATCCCCGCGTCGACGGCGACGACTCCGATGAGGTACATACGAACCAATACCCCCTCCAACAGCATATACAAACCCAGCCAAGCAATAGCAACAACTCGATATAAATATTGACAAAAGTACTAAATCAGGACATGGACATGGTCAACGTTGACTTCGAATGGTTCGACCCTCAACCGGCCGTCGATTTCCACGGTCTGAAGAACCTCCTCCGTCAGCTCTTCGACACCGACGCCCAGATCTTCGACATGTCCGCTCTGGCCGATTTGATCCTCTCGCAACCTCTGCTTGGTTCGACTGTCAAAGTTGATGGGAATGAGTCGGATCCATATGCGTTCTTGACTGTGCTGAATCTTCAGGAACATAAGGTGCGTCTCTGCCCCGCCTCGACATAAGGAACACGAAGGAGGGGAGTCTAACGAAAGCATTCAGGATAAACCCGTCATCAAAGACCTCACAGCCTACCTCCAGCGCAAAGCCAACGCCACACCGACACTCGCGCCCTTGGCACAGCTCCTCTCCCAAACCCCCATCCCGCCCATTGGCCTGATCCTGACAGAACGTCTTATCAACATGCCCGCGGAGGTCGTACCGCCCATGTACACGATGTTGCAAGAGGAGATCGATTGGGCGATCAAGGATAAAGAGCCGTACAGCTTCACGCATTACTTGGTTGTGTCGAAGACGTACGAGGAGGTGGAGTCGAAGCTAGATGCGGAGGAGTCGCGGCCGCAAAAGAAGAAGAAGAAGGCTGCGGGTGGGGAGAAGGCCGAGCGGTTCTTCTTCCATCCTGAGGATGAGGTTCTGGAAAGACATGCTGTGTGTGTTGGGCCTGTGGAGTACACGCATAAGGCTGAGGAGGGGTTGTCGGATTCGAAGCGCGCGTTCCAGGATCTGGGTATCGTGACGAAGGGGAGCCTCATTTTGTTGGAGGCGAGTAAGTTGGATGGGGCGGTTAAGGATATGGCGGAGTACTTCAAGCCATAGATATAATTTGCTTGTGATTACGATGATTATATGTTATAGACACCCAAAAAGTTGGTTTGTTCTTTGGTCATCTGTCCGTTTCTATTATTCCATCTTGGTTATTTCTATAGACGTTTCGTCACGGCGTTTAGTGTAATATTCCGTGTATATAATGGCAGAACGGGAGCTTCTAGGTGGTGTTACATTACTCCCATTGCGTGCCCTTGAGTCGCTGCATGAGGTAGTCTACCTCGACGACCTTGGTGAGCGGGATGACATATTCCTACGCACGTCAGCATATTCCTGATCATAAACCGAGAGATGAGTTAACTCACCTTGTACATGGCCACCACAGCATCAACATTGATCTTAGGTCCATTCTCAGGTTGGAAACCCGGATCGGTACCATACGTCTTCGCCTTGAGCGCCAACCGCTCCAACACCTTCAGCTCTACCTCAGGTTTGGTAATAGCCTCATCAATGCCCTTCCGATCATTCGCCTTAATCAGCTTAACAAAGCGCTCGGTCTCTTGCTGGAACTTAGCCTCCGCGACGAACTTCCCGAAGTGGATTCTGCGCGACAGCGCCTGCAAGCAATGCACATCGCATGTCGCCGCGGATCCGTAGTTCTCCTGTGTCTCGCCGCGATCTTCGCGCCCGAACTGCGCGCACACAGCGGGAAGGATATCCTCGATGTAGCGCTGTTTCAGGATGCTATTGACGTTGACATCGTTGTCATGCAGGATCTTGGGGTACTGGATGGGGGCGAGGATGGGCTCTTCCAGCGCGTCGGGGAAGAAAGGGTATTCATCGGGAGACTGGTACCGACGAACACGGGACTCCAGACGTTCTCGTTCGCGAAGGAAGTAGTCGAGAAGACTGAGGTCGGTGCCAGGGATTTTTACCCCGCCGGGTAGGTAGACGGGCTTGTTGAGAGGGAACTGCGCCCGTTCAATCAGGTGGAAGGTGATTGTGTCTTCAAGACGGCTAATTGTATCGAAGCATGATTAGCGACTGACATAGTTTTCTCAGTTTTGGTATCTGTGTTGGTGGACAAGTATGTTGAAACTCTGGCAGTAATGGAGGGGATGCGGGGTTGAGGTTTGCGCGCAGGGATGTGAATCATTGTATGCGAGTTGGTCCCCGATCTTCGGTCGATCTAGAGTAGGCGAACTAACTAACGAAATCCCTCCGAAGGAACTTACATTAGCTGGAAGCGGATGTTGGCGAGGTCCAATGCCTTGGAGGCATCGGACAGATCAATAGCTGTATCCATGGCGAGGCTGGTTGAGGATTGAGACGAAGCTGTAGGGTGCGTAGAGGGCAAAAGTGCAGCGAGCGTAGAAGTAGATGGAGGGACTGGGAAAGCGAGATGAATACGCTCCGCTTTCGGGGAGATCATAGAGCAACTTAAGTAGGCTGGGGAATCAGCGCTAACGGTTTGCTGATCGGCACAGACTGGGTGATGTTTCAAGGGAGACCAATTGCTGAGCCTAGGAAAAAAAGCAAGTAAGTCTCACGACATCCGGACTGTCATGGAATGCTGGGCTCAGCAATCATCTGCAACCCATAATGTTGGATGGTGATTCATGATTCTGGCTGGTTGGCCGCAGGTAACATTACGGCTTCGTACAGAACCCGCGGCGGGATCCGTGGCTGGTGATGCTGTCATGTGCAGCAGGGAGAGCCTCATCAGGTGGAAAGCTGGAGGGGTTGGGGGGCAAAGAACAGGGACATTGGATACTTAAGCCACTCATATGCAATGGAGCAGTCTCTTTCCAGGGGAATAATTATGCTTTCTCCGACATTGAAGGCACACCAGCCAGAACTGAGGGAAGAGTGACCGTGGTACTTAGGGTAGCCCGGGCGCAGCAAGAGGCAAGCTGTAAAATACAGCCGAAACACGGTAATTCATCGCGTGCAACTCCATCCGCCTTTCTTTTTCCAATCCCAGCCTGAAGCCGACCAACTGCCGACTGGGCACAACAGCTCCTCTGTCTCCGCCATCCTTGTCCTTGATCTGTTAATTCCCGGATGGGAGTTTGTGCTTAGCTCACTCTTCGCTCCTCCGCCGGTGTCATGGACAAACACCGCCGCCGTGATGAGTCTCCCTCCGGTCTATCAGATATTGTCGAGCCGGACGGTCTCTTAGGGACCGGCATCACGGTATGCTCTTGCGGCCTTGACACCTGCCCTTGGGCGGCCTTTCCTGCCTAAAATCCCTTCTTACTGACCTTCTTCCTCTCCAGTCGCGTCATATCGAGGCCTTCGGGCGCAAAGTCACATCGACTGCTGGCCATTTGATGGGACCGGCTCCCGACTCCTCCAGCGGCGGCCACTACCACACTGCGATGGCCGATATCCAGCGCGAATTACGCCATCCCAACACCCAGCGCAAAGTCTTTTCTCTCACCCAGACCACCCCTACCGATCTGGTCCGCTCCAAGCTCTCAACCACCGAAATTCAGTCGCGGGCCATCTCCTCCCTTCCGGACGAACTCCTCGCCAATATCCCCGACGACTCCAGCTCGTATTCTCTCTTCCAGGGCTTCCAGGCGTCGCAGGATGACATTGAGTATCGCCGCGCCCATCGTCGGCGCTCCTCCAAGAGCAAGAAGCTGTTGAAGGATGGGGAGACGCACGGCGCTTTGCCGTCCGCTCCGTCGGATTTGAAGAAGGAACGGGACTTGCTGAGCCGCCGGATGGAACTGATGGGCGTTCGCAAGAATATGTGCAGCTCGGAGATACACGACATAGATAATAAGATCGCGAACCTACACAACATGCGGAAGATTGTGCTAGACCGATTGGCAGGCCTTGAGATGGAGGAGGCGGATCTAGAACATGAGCGTGGGTGACCTGGAATTTTGGATACTTAGCAGAAACGTCCTAACATGGAACCAGTGAACGAGATTGAGAACAAACTGGAGGATATCCAAGAAGAGCAAGAGGCCGAGGTGCCGCCTCCCGCAACTCCCAAGTCTTCTGAGGCCAACGATGACTCGATTGTTTCCGAAGACCCAGCCATGGGGGCTTCCTTTATGTCTGAATCTATCTACCAGAAGATCCCTTCGCCGAAGAGCGTGAAGCAGCGATCTATAAGTATGTCAAACCATTCTCCGTTCAGCAGCCGGTACTAATGGTCCAAGGGAAACGATCGATGCCAGTTTTGCACGAACACTTCGCTCCCGGTTCTGAAATCAAAGAGATGCCGGCACACTCGGACATGGTTACTGCTATTGACTTCGACTACCCGTTTGGCACCATGATCAGTGCTGCCCTGGATGATACGGTGCGGGTGTGGGATCTCAACGTCGGCCGCTGCGTGGGCTTCCTGGAGGGACACAATGCATCTGTTCGATGCCTACAGATTGAGGACAACATTGTCGCCACTGGATCTATGGACGCATCTGTGAAGCTCTGGGATCTGAGCCGGGCCCGGACCACAACTCGCGACAATCGCGTCACCCGACGCGAGGACGATGAGGAATCTGCGCAAGCTGATGACGCCTCCATGGCATCTCACTCGACCACCCTGGAAGACTGCTATGTATACTCGCTTGATGCGCACGTCGATGAAGTAACCGCCCTGCACTTCAAGGGTGATACCCTGATTTCCGGATCTGCCGACAAGACGTTGCGACAGTGGGACCTGGTCAAAGGGCGCTGCGTGCAGACGCTGGATGTCTTGTGGGCAGCGGCCCAGGCGTCTACTCTAGGAAGTGAGACGACATGGCGCCCGTCGGGACGCCTTCCGGACGCTTCTGCGGACTTTGTCGGCGCGGTTCAATGTTTCGATGCGGCGCTGGCCTGCGGTACGGCGGACGGTATGGTGCGCCTGTGGGACCTTCGCAGCGGCCAAGTCCACCGGAGCTTGGTGGGCCATACCGGTCCTATTACATGCCTACAGTTCGACGATGTACACTTGGTGACTGGTAGTCAGGACCGCAGCATCAGAGTAAGTGTTTGTTCATATACGGACGTAACGACACCGCTAACATTAACCAGATTTGGGATCTCCGAACTGGATCTATCTTCGATGCCTACGCGTACGACAAGCCCATCACCAGCATGATGTTCGATACCAAGCGCATTGTCGCGGCAGCCGGAGAGAACGTTGTCAAGGTATACGACAAGGCAGATGGCCACCACTGGGACTGTGGTGCCGGGGTTGGCGTTGACGACAGTGGGCCGCAGCCGGCCACGGTCGAGCGGGTTCGGCTCAAGGATGGATTCCTTGTTGAGGGCCGCAAGGACGGTATCGTCGCGGCGTGGACTTGTTAAACGAAGCCTATACGACCTGCAAGACTCGCCACGTACATGCTAACTATCATCATCATGTTTTTGTATTTGTGACTGCTTGACTGCCTCAGCGACTGTATATTATTCTTACTTTGGCAATATAGAAGGATGGGCGTCCTGGGAGGGCAGCCGTGTAAATGAAGCATTCGAGGACCTGTACTTTTCTTTGTCACGATGAAACATGCATAAAAATAGCGAAGAAATAAAGGCATGGCTGGACTGTAACCAAACGTGGACCGAAATAAAGAACGCTAGTGCAATAATGCAACAATCCTGTCATGTAAGCTCTATACACATTGCGTTGGGAGAGGGAATAACATCGTAAACCGCGGGCGATCTATAAAGGAGGCCGCCGAGCCGCCCTGCCAAATTGGGCAATCCTGTATTGAAAGCGGGTAACAGGAGATACGAATATTACCCGCAGTGAGTGGAGGTTCCGGCCATCCATCATCATTCAGTCTAACAAGCAAGCCAGCCTCATCTCCCGTCGTCCAGCATTGTTCTGCAGCTCCAGCATTCTCTCTCTTCTTCATCTTTCATTCAGGAATTTCTGCACGACGCGCATTTTACATGCGCGACCTAGTTCATCTCAAATATCAAGTTTCTGAATCCCTCCACCGCCCCTGCGACGCCGTGGATCGGCATTCCACCCGCGTCTTTTCGCGCCGTGTCGCTTTCGCGCATGAAGGTCGACAATTACCCCGGATTGCCATCGCCAGTCTATACCCTCTGCTCACCTTAGCTCATTTGGGTACCTCAAGGTCTTTGACCTCTCTCAATGGTCATTTGAAAACAAAGACTTGACGAGGTATCTTTGTTTCACTTGTTCTTCATTTCAGCTCCAGCTCTAACAAACCTCGTGTAGGCTACATCTAAGTTGGCCATCCTGGTCGCAGTCATAGTGTAGCACAAACTCGATTGCAGCCTGACTGTTCAATATTACTCCTGATCACTCTCTTCGGGCTGAATCCTCCTATCTCATCACCGTGTTTTGGCATCTCTGGCCTCCCATTCATGCCTGAGGCTGCAAGAGACTTGATCATTTCCATTTATCACAGTGAGTAGAGAGCTTTGAGTCCCACTGTTATAGGACTTTCTCTCCCCTCACCCCTCAGTGGGGAAGCCTGCACGTTATGCGCTCTAGCTAACAAAATCATCGAGCCAATTCTCAGCATTGAACTTCCAATGCCTACTAGACGCGGCGCCACCAGGCGCGCGGGGTCTACTCCACGCTCCGATATAGGGAGTGCCTCGACGTATTTTCAGTCCAAGCTGGGTCCGGAAGCAAGGACACAGGCTCTGCCAAATCTTCCAACCAAGCAGTCGTTCGCTTATGGATCTGCTGAGACGCCAATTCTCCCACGGGAGCTCAAGATTCAGCCTCATATGGATCTGACCGAGATGGCCGACGCAATCGACAAGGGAATCGAGGATGCTAAGGATCGGCAGTTAAAAGAGAAAGAAACCACTCAGGACAAGTCTCGTCGACAGAAGTCGCCTTCTATCAGTCGTTCCCCGGTTCGGCGAAGTCGCCGGGAGCCGACTCCGGATGAGTTGCAGCTTCTCGACAACCTGCGCGAGGCAACTAAGTCTCCCACGCCGATACGGGGCAACTACAGCAACAACGACCAATCCACCGCCACCCCCACACCTCCTATCCCACACACTCTTTCTACCGCCTCAAGTCCTACGCAGCCTCTACCTGTACCCAGATATCCCCACGTCCCAGCCGACAATCTGTATCCGTCTCCTATGGGACGGTTTGGCCCGCAATTGCACGATGGGCCCCCGTTAGGAAGCTCCCCACTACCGGACAACTCATCGTTATACTCGTTCACCGTTGAACGAGCAATCAACTCCGATGAACTGACACGGACGCTTTCCGATGGAAAGAACATCAAGGCACCCCCTCGTCGATTTTCCGGGCTGGCTTTCAACGAGCCTATTCACGAAGAAGAGGAACCGGACTCGAGGCTTCTAAAAACGAAATCGAGGTCGCCCTCCCTGCAACCTAGTCTTGAGGAATTCACGATAGAGCCTTCTCCAGAGCCGGAGCCACAGTTGGAACCCGAGTCTGTGCATGAGCCTTCCCCAGAGCCCACGCCTACGCCCGAGCCAGAGCCTATGCCAGAGCTGGAGCATATGCCGGAGCCCATACCGGAGCCGGAGGTCATCAGAGAAAAGTCTCCTGCAGCACAGTTTACCGCGCCCACAAAGACACTCATTCCTGATACATATGCGCGGAGTCCATCACGAGAACCATCAGTCGATGGCAACCAGCAAAATATCACTCAGAGAGGTCAGTCCTGGTCCTGGGTAGGAAGCCTATCAGCACAGTTGCCCAGCGTATCTACGGTCGGTCGCATACTCGCTGGAATAGCCTTGGCAGCAGCAACAGTTTACCTGGTTGCCTTTGGCGGACTTCCCTCCCTTTCTCGACCCACACAATATATCCCGATGGATGAGAGCAATATGCTAGCGGTCAGCAGCCTTACAGATCAAATGTCTCGAATTGGAGCGCAGGTATCTTCATTGGCGAAGGATATGCGCACCGTCAAATGGGACGTGAACGCGGTGCAGTCGGAGGTCCGATCGTCACCTGCCCCAATCATGCCACCAAGCAGAGGCACCGATTTTGGTCCTCCCACAGAACAAAAGACAAACTTTCTGAGCATTGGACTAGGAGTGCTTGTTATTCCGGGTCTCACAAGCCCAACTGTCGGACACAAGCTCAATCCTTTACAATGGGCCTATGTCAAATTATGGAGGGGTAGTTATTATCGGCCTGCATCACCGCCGCTCGCGGCTTTGGCTCCCTGGGAAGATTATGGAGATTGCTGGTGCAGCACACCACGGGACGGAATGTCGCAGATCGGCATTGACCTAGGCCAAAAGATCGTGCCAGAGGAAGTGGCCGTCGAACATATGCCGAAGACGGCTACATTAAAGCCTGAAAATGCCCCCAGGGAGATGGAGCTCTGGGCTCAATACGTACTCGTTCAGAAGGGAGCCAGTCGACATGCAAGGACGCTTGCGTCAATCCACAAGCCGATCATGAACGCCCTCCGGTCCGCATGGCCCACCGAGGATCCGACTGCCTACTCCGATGATCCACTCCTAGGACCGTCATATTACCGAGTCGGGAAATTCACCTACGATATCCACGGCTCGCATCACGTGCAGCTTTTCCAACTAGACGCGGTGATTGACTCCCCAGAACTTCGGGTAGACAGGGTCGTCTTTCGGGCCACGTCGAACTGGGGTGGCAACCACACGTGTATTTATCGACTGAAGCTATTCGGTCATGTATAGCATGTTTCTTTCCCCCTCCTGCGTTGTTGATATCATCGGCGGCGGCGTATCGCGTTTCAAAATGTTTTTCGTTTATTCGGGCGGCGTTTGGTAGGAACGGGAAGATACCAGGCAATGGCAATCGTGATAGACGGTCTGTTTTGTTATTAAATTCGTGGAGCAGACGTTTTGGACGACTCGTGACTTTGCTTGGTACTTGCATGCAATCGTTCGTATTTAGCGATTATTAAATATATGCATACTCGTGCATGCTGAATTCCTTCAGTATTTGAACAAATTCTGACGTAAGATAGAAGGTGCGCTCCTTTCTACTCCGTATATAGCCTACTGCGTGATAGTGCTGTATTCCTACAAAAGCATTGGGACATTGAAACCAATGGCACCCTCTACATGCCAAACCTGATCCGTAACTGTAGTAAAAAAAAAGGTATCCCGCTTCGAGAAGTTCTTTGAAGAGAATATATATACTAGTAATAAACCAAAAGTACTTAAGAATCAAACTCCGGATTCACCCACCCCGGCACGCCCCTCGCTCTCCACGCCGCCCCAAACACATGCAGCGAGATGAACACACCACTTCCACCAGCCACGACGATGAGAGCTTGGGTGGTGAATGTCCAGGTCCAGCCGATTGCGGCTTGCCATTGGGCGATGAAGAACTGTTCATTCATTCATTTATCAATAATATGTTCGTGGTGGTAGAGGGATATTGTTAATTGGGGGTAAGTAGATGGGGAGGGAAAGGGGAACAAACATACTGGATTAGCAAACGCACTGAGATTTAGAAATACAGCGTAGAAAATCACCACGCTGGTGGATTGGAGTGGGTAGGCATCGATGATGTAGCTGCTTGTTACGGTGTTGCCGATTTGAATTCCGGCGGAGACTGTTCATTAATTTAGTGAATGGGGTTAGAGGGGGGGGTGGGGCTTAGAGGAGGTATGGTATTGGTAAGAGATGATGGATGATGAGTGAGGTGAGAGTGGGGGTGGTAGGAGTAGAGGTAGGGGATACTCACATAGGAAGAACGCGACTTGTCCTACCATCCAGTGGTAGGCTTTGTCTATGCTGATGCCCCAGAGGATTAAACCGACTGTCAATTATTTGTATGTTAGACTTGTACATGGAGTAGCAGTACTGGGCTATAGGGAAGTACTTACTAGCAGTCAGAATGATAGCTGGATATGCCAGCCATAGGCGCATCTCTGGGACCCGTATCCCACCATTCCGCTTCGCCAATCTCCCCACGATGGCATCGCTCAATCGTCCCGAGCAGCTTACCTCCGCTACTAAGGTCCCGATCAATAGGCCCAGGAATAGCAAGCCCTGAATGAGAGGCGAATCTGATGCATATGCAGACGGAACCATGGTAATCACAGATAGAATCCACCAGTACCATGTGAATGAGTATCCGAGGACTGCCACGGGGATGACTGGGAAGCGGAACGTGAGGAGGAATCGGGTGAAAGAGGCATGAATGGGTGGATGGGAGAGACCTGGGACGGGACGGAGGTTGAGGAACGGCAATGACTTGGTGCGCTTGATCTCTGCTTCTTCTATACCTGCGTTCGGCTCTGCTGGCTTCTCGGTGGCTGCCATGCGTTGGAGCATCAACGCGCGTGGGTAGAGGGTCTCAGGCATGAGAGCAAGCTCGAGGAGTAGAAGCGCGGCGAAGAGAATAGCGTTGAACCAGTTGATCCATTGGGCGCTGAGGAGATTGAGAATCCCGCCGACTTGGTTTATGTCAGTAAATGGAGGTTAAAATGTTGAAGTGAAGATGGGATTACGTACAGGTTGGACCTAGAAGTAAACCTGAATCTAGAGCCAGGACCCATAATCCGAGTTTCTGACCGCGTTCATAGTCGTAAAAGAGATCGGTGACTAGATCGTTAGCTACTGCTGCCCTGTTCACTTGAATGACTGTTGAAGAAAGGTAGCATACCAACTGCCATTCCCACTGTTGATGAAGGGCTGACTCCGAATCCTTGGAAGAACCGAGCAGCCATGTACCCCCCATATGTGTCTGCCACAGCAGCGCCAACTGTCGCTACGAGTGCAATGACAGTCCCCACAATGAAGACAATGCGGCGGCCGTAGATGTCGCCAATGGAGGACCAGAATAGTGGTCCAAGCGACAAGCCCAGCGCCGGGATTGCGACGGTCCAGTTGACTTGCGAGTAGCTGATGTCATACTGTGATTGTATCTCGGCGAAGGAGGGGACAGTAGTGGTCGTGATGTAGGTGAAAAGGAAGTACCTGTTCAAGGTTAGTGTCTGGGGTTCTCTAGACTGGAGCAAATACGCACTTGAGCATGACAATACCCAGAATCACATGCTTTTGCCAACGGGGCCAGTTGAGCGGATCCAAAGGATCAGAAGTAGGGGTAGGATGGACGTGCGTGCCATGTTGCTCAACAGGGAGGCTGTTGATGTCGCTGGCGGATTGCTTCTCGGAGATTTGGACAAGGTCTGTCTGGGTAGATTTAAGATTCATTTTGCGAGTAGCTATGATCGATCATGGGTAATATTAATGTAGCCCTGAGGCAATGAAGCCAATGCATGGTCCTTTTGACTAAGGTGCATATATAGTCCATGATGAGAGGGGGGTTGACAGGTGAAGTCGAGCAACGCCATTGCTGTACGGAACGATGCTTATCAGTAACAGCCTCAGGCGAACATCGAATCACCATCCTGAAGGATATCTCTGCTGCTTATCATCAGCGGGATGTACTGGGATGGAAGAGCGGATCGAATCAAACCCTGGTCTTAATGGCTGAATTATAGCCCTTCTCGGCCTGGATCTGGCTAAATTGGAAGCGAATCACATTAACCGGTTGGGGTAACGAAGTATATGCTGCCTTGCTATTCTGTTTAGAAGATGTTTATACGTTCTCCCTGACATTGTTTGTTAATATGTGATACCTAGGGCCCTGAGTTGGCAACCATGAGATTGTTTCGGTGCCCTAATTATTCTTGCTGTCAATCATGGTCATAACAAATTTTTGGTAGATTTTCCTTGAAAATCCAAACGATCCAGACCATTGAAGTCGTAGATCTCACTCTATCCCGTCGTCTTTTCTTTCCTTCATCATATTTTGGTCATTGGGGTTTCCCCTCTATACAATAAGCTGCGCCAGCCAGACCTCATCATTGGAACTATACTTGGCGGGGCACAAGTAAATCCGATTACAAGACAGTAGCGTTTGCAGCGCGTACTGGATAGCCTCTTGTTAGCAATCAAGATAAGAAACTCATGTTGCGTAAGGGATAGACATCTCGATCTATAGATTTGGGCATCAAAGACCTAGACAGTCTTCGGACTTGACAATGTGATGTCAGTCCCGACATCTCGGTTCGATATCGGATCATACAGTAGAAGCAGACATCCAGTGTTGGATATCCCCCACGCTCGTCCCAAAAAGGTGAATATCTTGAGAAGAGGAAGCCCCGCCTCTGAATCAGTCTGCGCTGACATGCAGCTCGACTAAGGTCTCCTGGTGGGTCAGTGATCCGGATCTGGATAAGCTCGTGGTGGATCATGTCGGTGGTCTGCACGGTTGCCACTTGAGTAACAGACCGCTTCTATCGGTCGAGGCAAGGGGCTATACTGTGCTGTACAATGTGTTCAAACAAGACCGAGGGTTTTATTATCATAGTTACCCGTGTTGTTCTCTCGGGTTGCCACCAATTCCTTTTTCTTTCTTCAGAGCTTGAGCCCAGTGTGTCTACTATTATTGCAAGATGTACGACTCCCTTCCTAGCTACCGAGAGACTACTTCCGCGCACTCTCACGGGGAAGAACATACGCCACTACTTCCCAAGCAAGTCGACGCCAACCATGACTCCAAGATTTCGACGTTATCGATTCCCTGTCCGGTCGAATTTGTCCGGCTGTTGAAAGACTCCATCCCGGTCATTCTGGCATACACGCTGCAAAACAGCCTGCAGACCACCTCTGTGTTGATTGTGGGACGGATCTCTCCTGAGGATCTCGCCACCACGGCCTTTTCACTCATGTTTGCCATGGTCACAGCCTGGATGATCGCCTTGGGCGGGACCACCGCACTAGACACACTAGCCTCGTCAACCTTCACAGGCAGCTCGAACAAGCATGATCTCGGCATCCTGTTGCAGCGGGCCTTTTTCGTCCTCGGGCTGTTCTATGTCCCCATCGCCATGCTTTGGGCATTCTCGGAGCCTGTATTTCTCTTGCTTGGCCAGGATCCGCAGCTCTCGAGAGATAGTGCGCGTTTCTTAACTTGCTTGATCCCTGGCGGTCTGGGATATATCTACTTTGAGGCCATGAAAAAGTATTTGCAAGCCCAGGGTAAGTCGTTCCCCGACGTGCTGCTTTCCCAGGAATCCCTGCTAATCAGAAGATGCAGGTATTATGCGACCTGGGACGTATGTCTTACTGATAACGGTACCATTCAATGCATTTCTCAATTACCTGTTCTGCTACACCTTTCATATGGGGTTGCTCGGTGCGCCATTTGCAACAGGCATTTCCTACTGGCTGTCCTTTGTGCTGCTAGTATTGTATGCCCGGTTCATCGCCGGCTCCGAATGCTGGGGCGGCTGGTCGCGCAAAGCATTCGAGAACCTCGGAACTTTTGCCCGATTGGCCTTTCTGGGCGTGGTGCACGTAGGCACCGAGTGGTGGGCCTTCGAGATCGTAGCGCTAGCAGCCGGAAGGCTGGGAACAATTCCGCTGGCGGCACAGAGCGTCATCATGACCGCAGACCAAGTGCTCAACACAATTCCATTTGGTGTAGGAGTTGCTACGTCTGCGCGAGTGGGGAGCCTGCTTGGATCCCGGGACACGGCTGGTGCATCGAGAGCGGCCAATACCGCGGCCTGGTTGAGCATGGTGCTGGGGGGTGCCGTGTTGGCCGTGCTTATGGGGACTCGGTACGACTTCGCAAAGATGTTCAACTCCGATGAAGGAGTTGTACAGCTCACTGCGGAGGTTCTACCGTGGGTGGCGTTGTTCCAGATCGCCGATGGACTGAACGGTAGCTGTGGAGGATGCCTTAGGGGCATGGGAAGACAGCATATCGGTGCGCTAGTCAACCTGGTCAGCTATTATTGCGGTGCATTGCCTCTCGGTATTTGGTTGGCTTTCCATGGCTGGGGATTGAAAGGACTTTGGGTGGGACAATGCATCGCACTGTATCTTGTGGGGGCACTGGAGTGGGCAATCGTGGCCTTCAGTAACTGGGAATGCGAGGTCGATAAGGCGTTTCAGCGAATGGATATTGAAGACCGGTTAGAGGTTGAACACACCACCAATGGTGCCACGACAGTCGTGTAGTGCAGATAGGTGTAGGTTAGATCAAATATGAAGCCTTCCAAACCCCGCTCAGGGTCTCTATCTAATATCTCTAAGAGGAAGGTGGACAGAGTTTGCTTGGTTAGCCTTAGAGTTGGCAGCCCTTTCTTCAATTCTCAAGCGAGAACGATGTCGGACGCTTATCGTGTTGTTTTATTGTCTGTCGATTCAGTGTTTCGAGTTCGGCCGTCCCCACGTCACAGAATGAAGATCAGCGTTGCTGATAAGAAATGCCGGCCGCTATCTCCGTGGAACATCAGCACGATAAGCCTTGGTAGGGTAGATTAGACTAATGCATGAGACTAGTCTCTGGCTTCTGTGGAATCTTGCTGTCCTGAAGCATCCGCTGTATTCTCCTCCGGCCTTCCTGTTTCGATCGCTCATGCGTTTCGAATTTATACTACGAGCCAAGCATTTGACGTTGGCCCGTGGAACAGATCTCGCTTTCGCATAGTATCCACAACAGCGACCTCTCGAGAGATAATGAACATCTGATGATGTCGTACCCCACTCAATCTCCCAGGTTCTCCAATTATTCCCCAGTTCTGGCAAGTCGTGGGAGAAGGAAGCAATAGAGTGTCAAGTTCCATACTGTGAGTGGACCTAGTCAGATATTCAGTTCCCGAGTATAGACATCGGATAGTCACATCATCAACAGCGACCATGCCGTAGGTTTTGTCATTCTATCCACCTACACTGCGCGTTAGCATGCATGCTGTAAATTTCGGTGTAACCAAGGATCGCCGAAGTAAAAGGACAGGCGGGGGACTGGAAGGAGAGATGGTTGGGGAAGCCAAGTAGCTGAGCTGCAGGTGGGAGCATATAATCATCCCCTCCCTGCAGAGCCTGCCTGGAACATCATCGCTCTCAATTAAAGTAATTTTGTGCCTTTTTCCACAAGATATCTCCAACATGTATCTTTCAGTTGTGGGCCTACTTGCTCTCTTAGGCATCGCAAATGCCCATGGCGGCCATGACCAAACTCCTCTGGCTGGTCCGCACCAGAGGTTGTGGTACAACACACTCCCTGGAGATGGTGGCACACAGGTGAGTGAACCTAGCTCAAGTTTGTACTTATCCATTGGCTGACAATTCAGGCCGACTCTGTCTTCTCTGGTATCTCTACTTTCGGTCGTTTGCCGTACTTTCCTTGTCTTTCCAGCGAAGCCGAGAGGTATGATATTGCATTCATAGGTAAGTCACCATCTTAAAAGTACGACATTCCAGTAACAATCCCTGATATCTGATTAGGTGCTCCTTTCGACACTGGTACCTCATACAGACCCGGAGCTAGGTTCGGACCTAGTGGCATCCGGCAAGGATCTCGCCGTCTTAATCTCTAGTATGCTATACCCTGCCATGACTATACCCAACGGCGATGACGCTCATCATTACTTCTCCCTAGTGGCGGATATAATGTTCCTCTGCAAGCGAACCCTTTTGTTAGCGACATGAGAATCCTGGATTGCGGAGACATCCCTGTTACGTCGTATGGCACCCACACCACGGGAGAATTGGCAAGATTCTGATGCAAACAGTTATGATAACGCCTGGGCTATCCAACAAATTGAAGAGGGCCACAATAGTGTCCTAATGCGCAAACCTTTCACCGATGCTGAGAAGTATGGGCTCTCCAAGGCTGGAAAGACCCTTCCACGCATCATTACCTTAGGAGGAGACCACACTATTACCCTGCCCTTGCTGCGCAGTATAAACAGGGCCTATGGACCTGTCACTGTTATACACTTTGACAGTCATCTGTATGTTTGTCTTCTGTAGTCGGAAGAGCCAATGCTCACTGTCTCCAGGGATTCTTGGAAGCCAAAGGTTTTCGGCGGCTCACCTAGTCAGGTTGCCGCCATTAATCACGGCACCTACTTCTACCACGCTGCGATGGAAGGCCTGTTGAAGAACGATACCAACATTCACGCCGGTATTCGTACTACCCTTTCTGGTCCGTCTGATTACGATAATGACGGATACTGCGGATTCGAAATCGTTGAGGCAAGAGAGATTGATACTATCGGTACGCCTGCACAAAGATCTCCTATTTACCATGCTAATGTACGGTTTCGCAGGAACGGATGGCATCATCAAGAAGATAAGGGAGAGGGTGGGTACTGAGAACCCTGTCTACCTCTCCATTGACATCGATACTCTTGATCCTGCCTGTAGGTCATTTCCAGTAATTCATTCCCACGACTTTCCTGACAATAGATCTAGACGCACCGGCAACCGGAACGCCCGAAACGGGCGGCTGGTCGACGCGTGAGCTCCGCACTATTATTCGGGGATTGGATGGATTGAACTTCATCGGTGCAGACATTGTTGAGGTTGCTCCTGCTTATGATACGAATGCTGAGCTTTCTACTATGTATAGCAACCCTGCACGACGCTATTCATGACTTAGTACTGATGCATATGATAACAGGGCTGCCGCTGACGTCCTCTATGAGGTTCTTACCATCATGGTGAAGAAGGGTCCATTGTCCGTTGGCCGTTCCGATGAGCTGTAGTCGATGGACGCTGCGTTGGAATATTGCCTGATCGCTCCCGCAGTTATTCCATCCGTGATACCAGGATTGGGCGCTTGATAGTATTGCTTTGCAGTTTTTTGTATGGAGTGGAGGATGATATCAGAGAAAGTACATATCCAGGTGTAGAGGTCTAGTGAAACAACAACAATTGTCTATACATGTTATATCTCCTGGAGAACTGTATACTTATGTTGCCACGGGTCTTTATTCACATATTAAATGATCGATAAATACCCGCAGTGCAAAACAAGATAGGGGTACTAAGCCAGTAGGCCAAACATGATCACGTGTGAAATGTTGAGGCTAAGACACGTGCATGTCTCGAATTGACTGCGTTCATCTGAAGGGTTTCAGCAACATCATCGGAAGCATGGGCAGATATTGGAACGCACAAGCTATTGGACAATTCCATCACTCAAAAAAGCAAGGAGGTATTCACCTGAAGGTAATCGCCGGAAAAGGGTCCCAGACGAATCATGAAATGGAACAGTTTGACTAGCAGCCAGGACGTGATGTAATTCATCAAGCAGATAGAGTCCGATGGCTGATCCATCGACTGGGCTGCTGAGGTCAATATATTACACACAGTAGGATCTGCGTATCAGAGCCGTTGGTTCGTCCACCTATACAGAATCTTAGCACGTCCGGTGGCCAGGAATATCATTAACATTCGGGGAAACAACGCTCAGGCACTACTATGAAACAGACGAGAATCCTTTCCACATGTAGCAGACGTCGCCTGCATCGAAGTCACGCTTATAGAAACAATGTTTGACGCTAATCGCACTGACGTATGTGAGACAAGCTTACTTCCAGATTGGATATCATGACAGAAGCGAGGGGAAAGCTTAAGGGCGCCGCCTGCTTGAACAGGCAATAAACATCAGCCCTGTGCAGTTATGATCCACGGTTCTTCAAACCCCAGAATGTCTAGCTGCCCATCCTTGAAATTGCTGACATCTACAGTTTAAGCACACCTCGATCTGTCATTCCTTGATTACTATCTTTACAGTTCTATAGACTACACCTTCCGTTCTTTACATCACAGAGTCGCCTATGGAGATCCCTTGCCTGAGTCCTGCAGTTGCAGACGATATCGTCCCCGATCTAGCCCAGATATTCAATGACAACCCATTCAAGTCATTGAGAGAACAGAAAATCAGCGTCCCTGTTCTCTGCGGTCCGCATGAGCAAGGTCCCACCGACACCCATATCAACATCTTTGGGCAGGAGTTCCGAACGCATTCCAGTTTGATCAAAGAGCACACTGGAATCTGGAAGGAACAACAGCACGGCGAGTATGCTGAGCGCCGCGGACACTACTTCGAGGCGAGGACTGAGAAAGATGGTGGTTGGGGGATCTACCGGAAGGGAGCGGTATGCTGAGTCGCTACATGGCGTCCAATATTCGCTGACAAGGTGGCATTAACTCCGCAGAAATACTACCGTGATTATCCCGAATTGCCGGATGAACGCATCCCGAGCGCCATTGAGTCTTTCCATTGCTTCCTGCAAGCGCTGTATCTCAAGCCTGTACCATACGTTGGGATCAAAGGATGGCGGAGGATGGTGTTGCTGGGGATACGCTTCCAGGCAGTGCCTCGAGTGCGAGAATATATCGAGAAGATCATACTTCCCTGGACGCTTACGTCTAAGCCCCTGCTTGGTCTCACTGAGGATATCCTCGCCTATACTAAGATGGCACAAGACATCCAGTGTGCCCAGCTCTACCGCGAATGCCTCATTCATCTTGTCGGAATGGCGCAATACTGGGGGCGGAACGAGTTTCACAACGCAGAAAATATACTCACTCCCAGTGCATACGCTTCCTTAATTCGTCACGTCGGAACACAACGGCAGCTTATTGAGAAAGCGGATGTCGCTCTCCACACGTTCATTCGGACTTTAGCAACGCAGAAGCCGCGGCGCATACCGAACTTCCTGCTCCGGCAGTTTACAGACACGGTGAATAACATTACCGGTCTAAATGGGCGCAACATGAACTCGCTGGGTTATTATCAGCATATACGCTTGGTACTCAACGATATGCAGTTGAGATTACCACGGGGCTCTACATACAACATGTGTCATAGACTGTGGCAATTCATTGGATGTCTGTGTGTGAATGGTCTTCTGTATACGCAAGATCAAGTCAAAGGCTACCCTGTCTGCATATCGCCTACGGATATCGAGCTACCATGGGTGCTTGCCAACGCACGCGAGGCCCAAGCGGAAGAGGAGCAAGTCCCAGACGCCATAATGGAAGTGGAAGGGTAGCAGGATAACACGAATAACGCTGGAGGTGGTCATTGAGGAACAGAAATGAGAATGTCATAGCGCATACCTCGTATCAAGATTATTGGATAGTGCAATTTCTAGTAGCAAAATGCCAAAGCGTACTTACAGTGTCTTATCTGAGTACCCACCATGTTGTCATCCACCGTTCGATCTCGATCTCGATCTAGCGGTCCCCTTGCATAAGGCAACGCCACTTATGAAACGATGAGACTGATCGCATCTTATCTAGATCAGTCCCATCGTTTCACAAGTAATCATCCGCCAGGGATGGATTATTGCCTAGGCTCCTAGTGACTACTAATTAGTCAGTTGCCTTCCCTGGAAACAATATGCCTCGTTGCATCACTCATCACTCGTATATTCTCCGATAGATCTATCCACTTCAACGGTCCTTCATCACTTCATCCCTCCGATACCTATGGCCTATGCACGTAAGCACGAATTTAATGGCCCCTCAAAATAGATCTATCTCCTCACTACCAAGCATACTACTCGATACATCCTATCTATCCATCCATCCATCCATCCATTTGATATATGTCCTATCATCCGCCCGAGCGTTACCAAACATAAACTCAACGCAGCCCCCCCTCCCCCTTACTTGCATAAACCTTATTATTACTCAAGTAGGCAGCAAGGTACACACCCACACACACCCTTTTGTGCAGATGCAGCCTTGCTTTACTTCCTTCCTCCCGTTAAGAAAAAAAAAAGAAAAAGAAAAAGAAACGCAGGTACGTACAATCTACGGAAATGCAGTAGTTCATAAAGAAGCTACATACTCAACACTACTTACTATGTCTTTATGAGTAGGATTATTAATAATACGAACACTCGATACGAGGCCTGCCAGTGGCCACTGAATGCGACGTGACAATGTCGATCGTCGGGGAGGGGTGAAATTGAGTTTCTTTATCTTTTTAGAGTTCTATTCTATCTAGTCTAGCCTGTGTACTGTCAGGATAAGTAAGTAGGTACTAAGCATTAGAAATGGTTGAATTGTGAAAAATAGGTATGGATCAACTGAGCGCAAGTGTGGGTGTTGGTGTGTGTGACAAGTTCACAAAATCGTGCATGGTTATTATGCAGGTTTCGGTTTTGAGTTTGGAAGTTTAATATGGATAGGCAGGTTAAGTATCCGTAGTTATTATTTATATGCTATCTATGACTTGGGTATAGTCTATATCCGGTTGATTTCAACCCTTTCCTTTCCCATCATGATGTCTCCCTGTAAGAATATCATCTAATAGTGTATAAGAGTATTGGAATGGTGCCGTGGATTTGAACCATACAAAAAGCAATAGAATGCTTTCCATTGGGTCGGTGGAGTGAAGAAGTGTGGTAGTAGTGTAGTAGTCCGACGATCGTTACTTTGCTGGAGATATAACCGGGTGCGTGCCGATTCTCGGGTGAGGATCGGCCGTTGGAAATTTCAGGGGGAAGGCCAATTAGATAGGTAGTAGTCAAGGTGCCATTGGGATAGGCGGGTTGGGAGAGCGCTGTTTGGGTTATTATTTGGCTTGTTGGTTATTCAGGTTATTACTTTGTAGTATTAAGATAAGTGGTTTTGTGGAATAACTATGTTGGGTGTACATATCTTGTTCAATGAGGATGGTTATGTGTGGATACCGGCTGATATGGATCCCGGATTTATAGTATATACCGCAAGGAGCAGTCGCCCGTGCTCATGATCCATAGGAAAAGATTTGTGAACACATATTTCTCTCCCCATTGGGACCAATAATTCAAGGAATAACGAGCCTAAGGCTGGTCCTTATCCAGATAATTCGGAGAGCGTACGAGCATCACCAGAATGGTGCAGTATCTACCTCAGGGAACAATTTTCGGTCGGATATCCCTTTCCCCTATCCCATTGGCAATAACAGAGCCGTTGAATCCTATTTTGTGGGTTATAGTGTTATTGATTGATAGATCGGTCAATCGGCTTGGCTAGAGATATAGGAGCATCCACTTCTGTTATGAACAGGGCAGTCGGATTATGCTGCTTTTATGCCCCATGTGGGTAATGCAATTTCACATCGTTGTATATGTCTACAACGAAGTTAGATGTTATGTGGATCCCTATATAGAAATTGGAATGATTGGAGGTATTATGGTATGAGTATTGGTTTAACTCAGTGGTACTTACTAGATGAGTGTAGTAGGGATTAGTTAGGACGTTGTCTATGAAATATATTTTGTCGGGCTTGTGCGGATTCGCATGCAATGAGAATAGTTTGCGATAAGTATCTAAATCTGTCATTTTAGTTAAGAGATGCTAACTCCTGCCAATGTCTTGTTAATTAGTGTTGGATGCCTTCATGGATGAGAAGTCCGGTTCCTGACCTGTATGCACATAGTGTATCACAAGATGAGAGTCAAGACATATTGTAGCCCCAGTAAAGGCGAAAGTCATCAGTATTGATTGTTCGACAAAATCAAAGCCTCTCGTGCCTGATCGGGGTTAGTACACTCATCCTGGCAGATGGTTGTACAAAGTAGCCTTAGACACCCAAACACACTCAGCTTCATCTCAAATAGTCTCAATGCATCCTCGGCCCGGATTAGCATGAACTATACCTTACCGAGTAGTGAACAAAAGCGACCATCGCCATAGGCTAGGTAGACGCGAAATTGGAGCGATCTCGCAGTTTGATTTCTAATGTCCCTACGGAGTATAT